TGAGCTTCTTCGACTCATAATGAGAAGAAGGTAACTTCTCATCCGGGAATGCATCTTTCAGTAGATTTAACAGAGCATCCATACACTCATTAGGCCACTTGTATAACACTTTTAAATGCATCATTAATCCTAGCAACATCTTGTAAGACTGCAAACATCTCATCTATTGGTTGATTAACTATTGGGTCGACACCTGACACCGTTTCTACTTCACCATGGTGAATCCATGTACTATACAATGGATCAAAACCAAATCGATGTATATGCACTCTTACAGTTTCTACTAGATGCATTTCATGGTTTCTACATTTTACACAAGGACAGCTGATATGGCCACTTGAAGTTTCATAATTTTTGGCGACCTCAATAAAAGCAGATAACCCATTCCAATATTGATCCGACAATCGGTTCCTCAAATAAATCCAACTTTTGTCAATCGGCATTTCAACTATACACAACAACAGACATAACAATTTATTAATGTGTTTAATTAATTTTAATTTTACTCTTTATTAACACAATTAAATTTTATTTATTAAAGTTTGTTAATGAACTTATTAAAATTCTCGTTTTCTAACTAAATTTCGGCAGCATAACGGCTTATTTTTCTTATGATATAAAAATCTAAACCTGCAGAAAACAACTTTAAAAGATTTCGGCACACCATAGTTGTAAGATGTGCCACCCAGAACAAGAATCACAAACATATTCTAAATTTCAACAATATAAGAAAATCGTAGTTCAAATATCAAAATCATAATCCCGAATTCATACAACCAAAACTACAACAATTTTAAACTAAAAGTACAATAAATATAAAAAACTTACAAAGTTCAAACCCAATAAACAGGGACTGAAAATAGCGGGATTACCTCGGAGGAACCGGGAAATAGCGACGAAGGTGAAAAATCAAACGCCTACATCAAATTGAAACATCGAACATAATTTTCAAACACCGAAATTAATATTTTATTAACATATAGAGTAACATATAGACACAATTCTTGATTAATCAATGCAAGTTTAAATTTTCACATTCTCTGAACCATAAAAAATGACTAAACTCGAACAAAATTCCCAATATTCAACTCCTAGAGCATTAAAATTATTGTAACTCAATCCAAGCACATACTCGATAAGCAAAACAAGAGCAATAAAATTTTCTCGGACGTGCACGATTCTTCTTCCATTTTCCATTTTCTTCTTCCATTTTCTCGGCAACCAAACGAAATTTACAAAAAGAAAAAAAGGAGAAAACCCAAACCTGTCAGACTATGTTAGCCTCTTCGAAGTCCTGGTGGGGCCGGGGCGGCGGTGGCCGGAGAGGGGAAGAAGAGAGAAGGGATCGGGAGAGAGAGAGAGAGAGAGAGAAGGGAAGAGAGAGAGAAGAGGGCTGGCGGTGGGGGCGACGGGAAGAGGAGGCAGAGAGAGAGAGATTTTGCAGGAGAGAGAGAGAAAACGTCGGGGGAAAATGAAGAAGAAGAAGATAGGGTATATTAAATCAGACTTATTTACGACGACAATGTCATCGCAAATAAATTTAAAATGATGTCGCAAATACGTCACATCTGGCAATTATTTACGACGACATTATGTCGTCGCAAATTATTTTTGAGTCGTCGTAAATAATCATTTTTTCCACGTTTAGTTTTTGGTGAAATCTTAAAAAGATTATTTGCGACGATAAAGAGAAAATGTCGTCGCCAAAAATGGACTACTTTAGCGGCAAAAATCCGCGCCATTAAAATTTGCGCTCCAAAATTATTTACGACGACATTTAAAGTATTAGCGACGACATGGTTATTTTATTTAACGGGGAGTAATTACAACGACATGTCGTCGCAAATATTATATTATTTGCGACGATAAATATCGTCGCCAATGGCCTTTATTGTTGTAGTGGTAGGTTGCTGGTAATGACAACTTAAGGTGACTTTGACAATACGCTACGAAGGCAAAAAAAAAAAAAAGAAAAAAAGAGGAAAAAAAAAAAACTTATAGTTAAGACTAACAAGCTCTAAATGCATAAGAAAGAAAAAAAAAAACAGTCCATACATTTTGTTACATATGTATATTACTATAATATATATATATATATATATATATATATATTTGATATGCATTGAAACTCTGAGACCCACTTTATTAAGAAGAATCAAATCGTTGATTTGTTTAATGCGTTTGAGCTCATAATTTTAATTATGTTAAGTATTTTTTTTATAAAAAAATGTAAATATCAAATGTTAAAATTAAAATTTATTAGTTTAAACGCTTCATGCTCTTAATGACGACGCGCATGCACATGTACTAAATCATTTGATATATTTATTACTACAACTTAATTAGTAATGTAAAAAAAATACAATTATTTTATAGCTACAAATATTTAATAGATTCTTAAAAAGTCTTAGGGTTGTTCTTTTGGAGTGTAATTTGAGTGTAGTTTTTGAGTTGAATTTGAGTTATAACTTGAGTTGAAGTTATAACTTGAATAAAATTGAGTGAAGTTGAATAAAGTTAAAACTTAAAAGAACGTGAATTTGAATAAAATTAAAACTTAAATTATCTTTTTTTGAGTTTTTTAAATAAAAGAACATGCCCTTAGAGTTCCGAAGAGCACGTAAGCATTATATGAGTCGAATCTTTATAAATTTCACGCCTTTTTATACTTTCTACATTTATTACTCATTGTTCTGCACATGAAAGATCTGTGGCGCGATGTAATTTAAGTTAACAAAATTTTACTATCAATAATAATAATGTGTGTGTGGCGAGATATGATTTAAATTGATGAATTTTTACCGTCAATAATAATAATAATGCGTGTATTACGTGAAAATCAATTAATTAGTGATCATTTAGGTCTGACGCGGTTGTTGATGATGATCCACGAATATAGATAATAGTACAATGCACATAAAACGTGGAAAGAGAAACTCTAAGGGTCCGTTTGGTTCCTAGATTCACTCCCTGATTCGAATCATGATTCGTGGTTCGCTACAGTATTTTTTCTCACAAAAAATACACGTAAATCGAAAATAGTTCAAATTACATGATTTGAATCCATGAACCAAACGGACCCTAAGTCGGACACGTTGAAGAAGTTATTGCAACTTGCAAGGGACTATAATTCAGTGTATTGTCCGGTGTGGCTCGCTTTCTTGTATTTTTCCGACGTACTGTATCATCTTTACATTAATTGTTCGTAAAAAGGCAAACATGTCCTTACGGCAACTTCAGAACTGCAAAAAGACATTACACTAAGGACCCGTTTAGTTCGTTGATTTGAGTTTTTAATTTGAGTTAAGATGTAATTTTATGTGAAAACTTTTTACTGTAACAAAAAAATTAGATGTGACTGTTTGTGAGAACTTTTTACTATAACAAAACTTGAATTCTAAACTCGAATTAGCGAAATAAACAGGGTCTAAATTTTGGTCCCTCGCAATAACTTCTCCAATTTTTTTTAATGATTATGTAATTTTTTCAACACCTTATATATACGGATTAATTATTAAAATTTTCATTAAATTATATTCTTATAACACTTTGTCACTCGATTTTTAAAATGTAACATTCGTTTCTCTAAACAATGAAATATTAACAAAAAAAATCATTTTTGTTAAATTTTTTACAAAAATTGACATTTAATTAATTATTTTAAGGATATTTTGATAATTTTATAGTTTGAACTTTAATTTGAATTTAAAACTACTTTAAATTTGGACTTTTAATTACGAAACATCTATTATTAGTTGAATGTAAGTTAAAAAATTTATGATTTTTATTTTTATTTTTATATGTAAATTAGACTAAAAAACTAGGGTGCATGGATAAAATAGTAATTGTACTTTAAATTATTTAACAACAACTGATATTTTTCTGAAATGTGTCAAAAACTGTTAAAAAATTAATGGATGGGGCATTTTTGTTAACGTTTCATTATCTAAGAAGAATGAATGTTACATTTTAAAGATCAGAGAGCAAAGTGTTTGTAGAGGTCAGATTCTACAATTAAATTTGTTTATAGGGCCAATAACCACTCTTGGGAGTCGATCGCGTTGGTGAGTCGATTCGGGTCGATTTGAGTTAATATATTGCTAGAACGAGAATGTAAAGTGTTAGAAAATAAATGGACATGTGAATTTATAGTGGTTCCCCTGATGATTCCAGGGCACATCCACTATAAGGTCTCGAGGGTTTCACTATGCAATGAAAATAGTACAATTATAATGCTTTTGTGAGAATTGGAGAAGGAGGAGGAGTGAGAGAGTTTAGAGAGAGTCTTAGCGTAATATGAGGAGTCTTCAATTTCTTGGCCGTGATCTCATTCCCTATTTATAGGCGATGGCCTTCTAGTTTCCTTTTCTCTTAGATAGGATAGTTTCTTTTTTCCTTCGGTTGACTTTGCCTTTTCCTATTTTCATATTGTCTTCTTGGGATATTTCATGTTTCTTATTGATTCGATTTGATCCTTTAATGTAGGATTTGGCTGAGAGAATCTTTGTGGCCTCTAATGAATCTCCTTCCTTAAATATCGGCGATGGTCTCTACACTCCTCCTATCGCCAATTTTCTTGGGACGTCTTGAGTCGATCTAATCTCCGGTTGATTTCAATCAATTCGAGTTAACATTTTTTCTGTAAATGTTGTCCACGTGTACGGTGATGATTGTGGTGATGATCCTGACCCTAACAGTGTTTCAAGAGCATAATACAAACGGAACTTTTGTAATTATATATATATATATATATATATATATATAATATACATAGAAGTGATAAAAGAACATCTTTCTCATTTGAGCATTAATCAACGGGAATATCTCTCTTCGCATCCAGACTATCGGTAATGGCTTTGCCGAATAAGGAAGTAATGAAGGTGCTCGAGCAATGCAATGTCTCTCCACCATCAGGCTCAGTCCCCACAACCTCTCTTCCGA